GGGGATCCGAGGTTGAACACACTCTTCTGTTGGAAAAGGGCAATCATATTTGTATACATCTGGGTCAGAGATCGGGAAATGTAATCACAAACTTCCATGCCTAAAAAATATGCATTATCGTACAGCGGCACAAGAGGGCTTATTCTTGGCCAAACGGAATGAACAGTGGAGGTGGGAAGATGGAGCATTTTAACAGCATTAACTGTGTTTTGTGTGTTAGTCACACAAAAAGAGGGAGGTGATTTTAATAGAAAGCCTCAGATATAGCTTCTACAGGCTTTATTTTCCTCTGGGCATATGATAATCTTATTTTACAGGCAACAACTGAGCCACACCTCCAAATGTGTGAGCTCTTGAGCTCCTGGCTCCATAAACAGCCTTCTGCCCCTGGGGCTGCTAACACTTCTAAATAACACAGTACTGGCTTTGGGGCCTCTTAGGAAGTCCAGGCAGGCACATCCTTGAACAGATAATCTTGAAATTAAATTTGGTTAACCAGAAGACTGGCGGTTCAAATCCACCAGCCACTCCTCAGAAGGAAGGTTAGGCAATCTACTTCCGTAGTGATACGGCCTCGGAAACCCAAGGAGGGGTCGCTGTGAGTAGGATCCTACTCAAGGGCAGTGCATTTGTGTGCCTGAGGCTGAGGAGCCAAAATTATTCTAAGCTTGCTTGTAGCAAATGTCAATAGCATATGAGCTACAAAAGAAAATGACAACAACAACAAAAATTGCTCTTGAGTTGATTCCAATTCACAGTAAACCCATGTGTTGCAGGGTAGAACTGAGCTCCGTGGGTTTTCTTTATGTAATCTTTATGGAAGCAGACTGCCAGGCCTTTCTTCTGAGGATTTGAACTATTAACTTTTCAGTTAGCAAGTAAGTGCTTAAGGTTTTCACCATCCAGGGACTAATATATAAATTAACATTTTTAAAATAATGGGGATGTTGAGTATAAAGATAACTGGAACATAAAAATAATTGCTATTTCCATGGAGGGAAAAAAATGAATTGAACGGAAAATTCGTGTCTGCAGGGTCAGCCATTGCACCCATAACTCCCACTAGATTCTAGAGTCTCACACATAGCTCTGCAGCGGTGGGTGACTAACAGTCCACACCACTCAAGTAATAAAACACTCTAGGTAATTTATTTAATCATCTGCCTGCTTCACTTGACAAATATTTATGGTGTGTCTGCTGCAGGTTCCAGGTGTAGATACCAGGCCCTGGGCCCAGGAACCAGAGTCTAAGGAGGTCACAGCAGCCACACTTAGCTACAGTGGGGACCAGGACAAAGATCACAAATTGGGTGGACTTGGCTTGGAACCCCAGCTCCTCTGCAGACTCAGCTGTGTTCCCTAAGCAGGTTACTGAACTCTCTCCAAGTCTCAGTTTCCAGATCTGTAAAAGGGAAATAAACTCCCTAACAGGGATTTTGAAGGTAGGGTCCTGAATCATCAGAGATTATAGGTGAGCACTTGTTATGTTAATGGTCATTTGCTTGGAGGTAGCCACTTCCATGTATAAAAGTTTATAATTTAAAGTTTCATTTTAAATAAATTTTAAGAAATGAATCCATTTGAGAAAATTATAAAGTGAACAATATCCAAAATGAAACCAGCTGTGGTAGAGTCAGTTCTGACTCATGGGGAGTCCTGTGTGTCAGAGTAGAGCTGTGCTCCATAGAGTTTTCAATAGCTGGTTTAGATCTCCAGACATTTCTTCCAAGGCACCTCTGGGTAGACTCAAACCTCCAACTTTCTGCCAGTAGCTGAGCACTCACTTGTATCCAGAGACTCCATACTGCCAGTTTAACATCTTGGATTCAGTATCTGTGAAGTTCCTGGCATGGGCTAGGGACTTAGTACAGTCAGGATGAAATCAACATGACTCATAGGTCTAAAGTGCTAGGACATCACTAAACACACAGTAGGGAACTGACATGATTATTTTTAGTCCCATGATCCTTGACATTACAGACATAAGCACCAAGAGCATGAATCTCAGAGAGATCCAGGCTGATCTGCCAGGGAGTAAGGATGAGCCTTGGGAAGGCATGGGAAAGAGGGTTCTTATGGCCTTTCCCATAAAAATATCAATGTTTCCTTCTACATAGGACATTCTGATCATCAGCACCTCTAACAGGGAGATCCCTCTAGCTCAGATCTTCAAAATGTGCTGGCTGTAAGAGTCAACATGTCCCCTTCTCAATGGTGAGCTGTTTAACATCATGCCCTGGCCAGGAATATAAGCAGAGGTGAAGATGAAGCTGTGTGACCAAGCAAGGTGATACAAGGCAGAGAAGCTGGGCTTGTCTGAGATTGTATGGTGGGGGATAGACAAACCTTGCAGGCCAAGAAGACAGGATTAAAGGACTCTGGTTGGATTAGATTAGAGGAGTTCCAGCTAGCCTGTCTGGGGTGTGGTCCCATGACCATGACACTGGATAAGTTTGTTCATCCTGAACTGGGGCAGCAGTGGTACCTGCCTCAGGATAGCCATGAGAATCCAAGGAGATCATGTGTGTGTGATGTACCAGGTGCTACAAAAACACTCATAGTGCCCTCACGTGTGTCAGAGTAGAATTATGCTCCATGGGGTTTTCAATGGCTGATTTTCCAGAAATAGATTCTTCTTAGGTGCTTCTCGGTAGACTCAAACTTTTGGTTAGCAGCTGACCAAATTTACTGTTTGCACCACCCAGGCACTCCATTTGTCTGCTCTATGAGATTCACTGCCGTTGAGTC